CTATTGGCCGTACCTCTTTTTTCCCCTTTAAAAAACTGCTTGAAGAATCTTTTCATTCAGATTTCGAGAGAGAGAGAGAGAGAGAGAGAGAGAGAGAGAGTGTGTGTGTGTGTGTATGGGTGTCTGTACATATGTGTATATGTGTGTGTGTGTGCGTGTGCGTGTGCGTGTGCGTGTGTGTGTGTAGTATTTCTTTAGATCTCGATTTCCCCGGACCTTGCTGTTTTCTCCTGCGGGAGAGGGGGCGAACCCTCTTTTTGATAGCTGTTAACATCCAGAATTAATCTATATAGACAGAGCCTGGGGAGGTCAGCCTCACTATTACCCAGCTCTGCTATCAAGCATGTGGTACCTAACTACTCTGTGTCTCAATTGTCTCATCTGACAAATAGGGATAACAAGGGCTGCTTCTGTCCAGGACTGATATAAAAGTTAAATGAAGCACTTTATAGAAAATGCATAGCCTGGTGTCTGGCACACAGGGAGTATGAACTGCTGTCTCTCTTGATGTCTTCATCACAAATGGGTGAATGCAGTCTAGGTTCAGTAAACGCCTTCCTTCATCTCAGCCATCACCTCCTTCAGGAAGCCCTACCTGATTTCTCCCTATCCCTTCTGCCCAGTCTGGATCAGTTATCCTTCCTGTATTCTCTTAGAGCACTGATCACACTGCACTCACTGGAGCTGTGTGCACGTATATCTGTTTTCTGCACTGAAGCAGGAGCTGCAATAAGGAGTGTGTTTTATCCAACCACAGAGGGTGTGAAACTTAGGGACCAGCAAGTGTATGCTGAGTGAATAATGGAAGCTTCCATTTATGTAGTCAGTGGTGAAAGACTTAAAGCCTGAACCTGGAGGCTGAACCGTGGAGCTATCTCAATGGTAGCACCGTGGATTCTGCTTTACCCCTTACCAGAAACAGTTCCAGAGTCATTGAGTCACAGAAAGTGAGAGACAGAGATTGGAAGTTCAGTTTTGTTATTTTCAGGTCAGGAAGTGGAAGCCACCAGAGGCCCAGGGGTTTATGGAGGCCTCATGCCATGCAGGAGCACCATGGCAACATAATGCTCCCATCTTGACCTATTGAGCTGTCACTCACTTGTTGCTGCACGGAGCCAGGCCCACAAATGGCACAGGGATGGCCTCCTCCCTGACTGTCACCTGAGGGAGGCTGGGTGGCAGCAGAGATTCATGTAGGACACAGTGAAGGTAGCAGGCCAGCCTTTCCTGGAAGTGGGGGTGGGGATGAGCTTAGGAAGGAGGCCTGGCCCCAGTCTTGGATCTGCGGCCTATCACTGTGCAAGCCTGAGCGACTCACAGATGCCCAGAGCATGAGAATGGGATGGGGCCCCAGAGATGATCCATCCCGACCTCTTTGGTTTATGGGAAAGGAGACCAAGGTCCAGATAAGTGACCTGCCCTTCCCTGAACTACAGACTTAATCAAAGGCACAGCTGATAAATGAATCCATGTCTTTTGAATCTGAAACCTAGTTTCCTCAATGAATGGATTCCAGTGTTTCCCAGATATCAATGGGCATATGAATCACTTGAGGACCTTGTTATAACACAGGCAGGACGGGGGCGAGACCCCAGATTCTCTTTCCTAATAAGCTCCCAGGTGCTAGCTAGAATGGCTCCAGGTAGGTGGTTCTTAGAAAAGTCACTGGTGTAGAATGCACTGTGATGAAACTACTTGGTGTACTAGCCATAGATTAGTGTAGCCTTATCAGGTGAATGAGGAGATTGGCTGCTGGGACGCTCACTGAGACACTGATAGAGCCAGTGTCCTTCCCCATCAGCATTAGTCACCTGTTGCCCTGTTGGCTGCTTCTGGGTCTATGGTGAAGACGCAGGTTCTGGCTGGTGGCTGTAGGTTCCTTGATTGCACCCTAGTTAGAGGGCTGTGACTTACTCAAGGCATCAGAATCACCTGAGAACTTACTAAAAATGCAAATCGTCAGGCCTCAGCCCAGATCTAGTGAATCAGAAACTCAGGGTGGGGCCTAGAAATCTTTATTTTTACAAGCCTTGCAGTGTTCTAAAACACTGAAGTTTCAGAACCATTGGCCTAGGAAATAAACAAGAATTGAGATAAGAATTTAGATTTTATTGTTTCATTGGACTTTGGACAGGGGTAGAGGGGTGGAAAGTTTTGTACTTAAAGCCAGAGCAATTTTTCAAAGCCACTTTGATTTGGAGATTGCTGATTTGACCTGTCTTGTGGAAACGTGCATGAAGTGTTCTCACCAAGTCTAAGACTCATGATATTCTCACTGCAGGTGAAAACTGATTCACTGCTTATAACTAACCGTGAAGATCACAACTTAATTTAGAGTAGGAAAAAAATCCTGGTAATTATCCTTAAGACCTATGGGGGAGAAAACTGATCCTTTCTTTTTTTTTTGAGACAGGGTCTGGTTATGTTGCCCAGGCTGGAGTGCAGTGGCGTGATCACAGCAGAGCTCACAGCAGCCTCAAACTCCTGGGTTCCAATGATCCTCCCACCTCAGCCTCTGGACTGATGACACTACAGGCATGTGCCACCATGCCCAAGGACTTTTACATTTTTTTGTAGAGATAGGATCTTGCTGTGTTGCCCAGGCTGGTCTCAGACTCCTGACCTCAAGTGATCTTAGTGCGTTGGCCTCTCAAAGTGTTGCGATGACAGGCGTGAGCCACTGTATCGGGCTGAAAATTGATCCTTAAATAGTTAAAAAAAAAAATCCCTTGGCGCTTCCTCCTCTTTTTCCTTCAAAGACTTGAAATTCTTTCTAAACATTAGCGTTTGTCATTCAGGACAGGAAAATGCCTTCTTTAATTTTCTGTGGTGATATGTCATTGCATTAAAGACGACCTGAACAACCTTTATGCAGCCCAGCTGGTGCCTGCCCTTCTGTCAAGAGACAGGAAATCTGTTTTGACTGACTTGGTCATTGCTTAGGTTTGGCCATGTTCTGTGCTGCCTAAAACCTCCATCGCACTTGGCCAAGCTCTTGGAGCCCTGTCAGTGTGCGCATTCTGCATGTGTGATTTATGATATGGCAGATCTGAAGACCGGAGCCTGTTTCTCTGGACAGTGTCACTCTGCCTTGAAAGTGGAGGTGTTAAGAGCTCATGTGAACAGAAACCTGCTTACAGCTTGACCAAACCCAGCATCAGGCTACCATAATGAACTGCTGTCTGATATCCCCCAAACAACAAGCTCTTGTAAAATTAGTATAAAAATTAATTACTTTTAGCCGGGCGCGGTGGCTCAAGCCTGTAATCCCAGCACTTTGGGAGGCTGAGGCGGGTGGATCGCGAGGTCGAGAGATCGAGACCATCCTGGTCAACATGGTGAAACCCCGTCTCTACTAAAAAGACAAAAAATTAGCTGGGCATGGTGGCACGTGCCTGTAATCCCAGCTACTCAGGAGGCTGAAGCAGGAGAATTGCCTGAACCCAGGAGGCGGAGGTTGCGGTGAGCCGAGATCGCGCCATTGCACTCCAGCCTGGGTAACAAGAGCAAAACTCCGTCTCAAAAAAAAAAAAAAAAAAAAAAAAAAAATTAATTACTTTTGACTGGATGTCAACTGAAGGACATGGTAAAAGATATAAACAGGAAAAGATCAAGTTAAGGGTGAAATCCAAAATCTGTGACTTTATACATTTATTTCTTTTTTTCTCTTTTTTTGATATGAAGTGCAACAGTGCAATCTCAGCTCACTGAAAACTCTGCCTCCCAGGTTCAAGAAATTTTCCTGCCTCAGCCTCTCCAGTAGCTGGGATTACAGGCATGCACCACCACACCCGGCAAATTTTGTATTTTTAGTAGAGACAGGATTTCTCCATGTTGGCCAGGTTGGTCTCGAACTCCTGGACCTCAGGTGATCCATCCACCTGGGCCTCCCAAAGTGCTGGGATTACAGGCGTGAACCACCGTGCCCGGCCTACACATTTATCTTGTTTGCTCTTTTGGGTTCACACACCCCACAGAGTTCCAGAGGAGATAGGGAGAGTCATGGTGTCATTTCCCAGATTGGTAGTGACCATGAGAGGGTAGCTATTGATTCATTGTGATGGCCAAGTTGAGACTGCTCCCTCTGCTGGACAGCTTTGTACAAGTACCGTCCTGTACTGGCCCTGCATACACTCCTACATCCAGAGACGTAGGTGACAGGGGCTAGGACTGTAAAGATGACAATCCCCATTCTGTTAAAATATTATATATCCCTCTAAGCAGGGGACCCCAACCACCTCACCTGCATATCCAAGCCCCTGTGAAAGCAAGAGGAACAGAGATGGAGGTGCCTGTGGGACATTTTGGTAATACCCCAAAGTCTCCACTCTCTTACATCATCAATCTGCTGCCTCTGGCAGGAAAGAAATCCTTCAACAAGTCCAAGAACATAAAGCATGTTATTATCATTCGGCTTGTGATCCACCAAGCCATGCACTAACACATCATAGTCTGAACTCAGCACTTTGGTCTGTCCGACTTCCAACCAATGATCTGAAAGAAACATGGAAAGCTCATTCTCCATCAATTTTTTTTTTTTTTTTTTTTTTTTTTTTTTTTTTTTGAGACACAGTCTTGCTCTGTCACACAGGCTGGAGTGCAATGATGCAACCTCAGCTCACTGCAACCTCTGCCTCCTGGGTTCAAGCAATTCTCCTGCCTCAGCTTCCCGAGTAGCTGGGATTACAGATGTCCACCACCACGCCTGGCTAATTTATTTTTTTATATATATTTTTAGGAGGGACAGGATTTTGCCATGTTGGCCAGGCTGGTCTTGAACTCCTGACCTCAGGTGATCCACCTGCCTCAGTCTCCAAAAGTGCTGGAATTACAGGCGTGAGCCACCGCACCTGCCCAATTAACATCTTTTAACAATGCAGAATTCATCTGACAATTATGATTATAAGCTTATAAAGTCCCTGCAGTCAGATGTTCAAGGACAGGAAACATAAAAAACTAAAAAATAAAATAAAAATAAAGTCCCAGCCAGTGGTCTCTACCTTGGTCGTCATGATGAGTTTCTCTGAGGGATCTTCCTGCTTCTTCCTGACAGTCCAGTGCCTCTCCACTTTCCTGCTGGGTTAACACACAACAATAAATACGTTAGACAAAATAAACGCAAACACTTTAAACACTTCCGTAGTTGACGCCCTTTGGCAAAAAGGGATCCACTTTTCTTAGTAGTTTCTTCTTCATCAACTTGTTTTTACTTAAGTCTCCAGGAAGGCTGCTACTGGTGTTAAACAGGCTTAAAGAGCCAGGCAGGGCTGGGCATGGTAATAGGCACCTGCAGTCTCAGCTACTTAGGAGGCTGAGTTGGGAGAATCGCTTGAAGCAGAATTCCCAGGAGTTTGAGTCCAGCCTGGATAGCAAGACGCTGGACCCTGTCTCTTAAAAAAAGAAGAAGGAAAAAAATCCAGGGCTAGGCAGGCACCAGCAGCGTTGAGCGCTGTGACCTTCCTGCTTGCACTTATTTTCCTGAGGTCTTGTATCATTCACCTGTGCAGTGCTCAGTGCCTGGCATTTGCAGGAGTTGATTGGGGGAGGGAGGAGAAGGTCATGACAGAGGCGATCTGGCAAAAGGAAGCAGGGTACCTCCAGGACCTGAGGGAAGACTGGTGTTGCTAGAGCAGAGACTGAGAGAACTGCAGGGTTGGGAGGAGTCAGACCCCTAGAGCCCTGCAGGCAGGCTGAGGACCTTGGTTTTTATCTTGAGAACAAATGGAAAGCATTCAGGATTTAAAGCAGGGGAGCCAAAGGGTCAGACAGGCTTTTGTGGCATTCCTGGGATTACCACGGATTGGGTTTCTTATCACATTTGATCCCTTCTTCCTTCTTTCCTTGAGTCATACAAGCTGCTTGGAATCCCTCCTCCCAGCAATCTCCACAACTGTGCTTATCAACTCTGGCTGCACATCAGAATTATTTGAGAAGTTTTAGAAAATATGATTCCCAGGATCTCACTCCAAATAATAACAGTCAGACTCTCTGGAGCTGGGCATTTTAAAGCTTCTAGGTTGAGTTTGATATGCAGCCAGGACTGAGAATCATGCTCTTCTCTAGAGCATTGGAAGAGCAGCTCGTCAGTGTCAAAGTAACATGGCAGGTGGAGTTGGTGACCCAAGTAAGCCCTGTATGTCTGATGAGGCCAGCTCTGGGCCTTTGTCACCTGGATCCCTGCTCAACTCACAGCTTCATCTCGGTGCTAGAGCTGGAATCTGACATGAAGGGTCCTGGAAGTCTCTCCCGGGTTACCCTCATTCTGTAGTGACAGTCACCTTTCTACTTTGTTATCAAAGTCTCAACCTGCTTGAGAAGAGACAGCTAATTATCTGCTATTTTGGCACTCTCTTTAACTCCCCTCTGAGTCCCTTCACTTGGTGGCTTTCTACCTTGTGTGTTTGTTTCTCACTTGTTAGCTTAGTGTTTGTAGCTGATGATATATACTGACATAAAAAAGCTAACACAAGTAAATAATTTTCTTACTTTTGGGTTTCTTATTTTGGAGACAGAGCCAATTTGGGCTGGTACAGTTAAAAAAAAAATCCCTGAACAAATGGAAAGAAGTAAGAGGCTAAGTTAGAAGCACAGGAAAGAGAAACTTAAAAAACAGAATCACTGGTTATAAAGCCTTTGAATCTAACAAGAAAGTGTATTGAGAGGGAGAGCCAAGCTTCCTCTTTTGGAAGAATTTTAATACCAAGAAGGATAAACTTTCAGTCTCAATAACCTGCAGCCATGAGTTTTCAGGGGCAAGGAATATCTTCTCATTTCACAGAGTGGAAGAGGGAGATAGAGAGACTCAGGGATTTGGAAAAATATTTTCAGGTGAGTCCTTGTTAGAAAAAAATAGTCTTAATTTGAAACTCTGTCCATTCAATTGTATGTTGCTTAGGAAAGTGTCAAAGAGCTATCATTTTTTAGTTATAAGGATACGCATGTGGCTGGGTGCAGTGGCTCACGCCTGTAATCCCAGCACTTTGGGAGTCTGAGGTGGGCGGATCACGAGGTCAAGAGATTGAGACCATCGTGGCCAACATGGTGAAACCCCATCTCTTAAAAAAAAAAAAGACTCTGAACAATGTATATAATATGCTAAAACTTGCATATACTATCTATCTGTGTATGCATCTATCTGTATTTGCTTATATATGCATCATACATCCCAGGAAGGAGGACACAGGAAACTAGCAACAGCGGTTGTTTGAGGGAAAGGAACAGAGCAGCTGGAAGGCACACTGTTTTGTACTTAAATTTGAAAAAAAACTCTTTTGAATATATTTCAGATTCAAAATTTGAATTAAAGAAACTAAACCATCTGGGCGTGGTGGCTCACGCCTGTAATCCCAGCGCGGAGGCCGAGGCGGGTAGATCACCTGAGGTCAGAAGTTTGAGACCAGCCTGTCCGACATGGTGAAATCCCGCCTCTACTAAAAAAAATACAAAAATTAACTGGGCATGGTGGTAGGCACCTGTAATCCTAGCTACTCAGGAGGCTGAGGCAAGAGAATTGCTTGAACCCGGGAGGTGGAGGTTGCAGTGGGCTGCGATTGTGCCATTGCACTCCAGCCTGGGCAACAGAGTGAAACTCTGTCTCAAAAAAAAAAAAAAAAAAAAAAAAAGAAACTCAACCTAAATAAAATGCTATGTCACTTTTAGTCTGAGTTACAAATGCCATGATTAAAACTGAGTGATGGAAACACAGGTAATAATTCTTGGTGAGTGAGCAAAACAAATGGAGGGACTGCAAATTCAAATCCCAGGTCTGTGGTTCCAGCCAGTGCTGTTCCTCTGTTCATTCAGCTAATGAACATTTATTGAGTGTCTGCTGTGTGCCAGGTACTGAGATAGGCACTGGGGGCACAAAGATGAAAGATGTAGTTGTAGGACGCTCACTGACTTGTGGGGAAATGAGAAGTCAGCTCGCAGTGCAGCGTGATAAATGTTGTGGCAGATTATGACAGGTTTCTGCAGGGCCTCATGGGAGGTGAAGCTAAATTAGGCTGGGAAGGTTGTTTACCAGCAGACACAGTGCTGAATCTTGCAGTGAAGGGAAGGTAGAACAATTCCAGGCAAAGGAAGCAGCATGTGCTGGTTAGGGGATAGTTTGGTGCGGGGGACAGTGTGTGGACACTGTAAATTAGACACAGGCCAGATCGTGCATGTTACAGTTTGGAGTTTAAGAAAAATTGCACGTTATATATTTTTCTATTTGTAAAATAAATACATCTTTGATGCTGGGTATTGAACCAGAGGGCCAATGGGGACACAGTCAAGAATTTCAAGCAAACCAGTGATAAGACTGAGCTGTATTTAGAAAGAGCAGTGGCAGCAGTGTGGTATTATAAGACCGGGGGAAGAGGAAGAGTCACAAACACTTTATGAACACAAACTTCAGCACTGAAACCAACATGTGAGAGGCGGTTTCTCCGGTGGCTAAGTTATAGCTCCTACCTTTAGGCTGTCTGCACTAAAGTTCTAACTCCTACACTTGATGTCTTACAGACCATGGGTGTTACTTAACCCCTGAGCCTCAGTTTCTTCAACTGGAAACAGACAGATGCTGGACAAATGATCTTGGGTTATCTGTCCTTGGAAAACCTTCCAGCCGTCCTGCGCTCCACTCTCATACACAGCACCCTGTCTGGGCACATTATTTTTAGGACCACAGCAGGCTTTCTTGGGGAGCTGCTGGGAGGACGGGGGAGCATGGGATGCAGGAGTCTGAGGTGTGGCCTCCAGCCTGCCTTGAGCTATCTGCATGGCTTATCATCGAACCTCAGCTTCTACACCTGTGAAATGGGAGTAATAATAAATAATCGTACAGAGTTCTCAAAAGGCTTAACCAGAAAAATACATTTGGAAATTCCATGTAACATACCATGTGATATATGAATATGAATGGTTAATTTCAATACTTTCTTAATAATGGCTTTTTTCTTTTGGAGCTAGAACAAACTCATAAATATTTTTCCTGGAAATATTGGTCAGGTGTCCTGGAACCACTAAATCTTGAGACCAGCTCGTGATCCCTCTACAACTTTCCTGCCAAGTGGTCATCAAGGCACATTTAAATGCTTCTGGAGACCAGAACTTATCTCCTAAGGCACCCTACTCCATCTTTAGACAATGTCCTAAGCCAAGCATTATTTTCCTGTTGTATGTGAAATCCACAGATTCAGGGGCAGCCCCCTCTGCTTGGTGGGATGCATGTACACCTGGCCACGTAAGTAAAGCTTGGGACTGGCCTCAAAGCAGGTGGGGCAGCTCTAACTGTAGGCACAGCTGGCTCTTGTCTGTCCAGGCCAATTCCTCTACTTTGCATTTGAGGGCACTATGTGCTAACCGTGTGGGAACTGCGAGGTGGAAGCTTATTTCTCATTCTTCAGATGTTCTGGGTGTAACATACACACCCTTTGATATCAACGTGGAGTATAAGGATATTCAATTCGGTATCTAACATTATTGCTATTTTCTTCCCTACTACCACGACCTATCCCTGATAATTTAAAAAGTCCCTGAAAAAAACCTCTATCCTTATTCATTAATCAATTACCATTTCTTTTTGAAAAACAAAATCGAGTTTTTAAAAACATGGTTCAAAAATGTTTTTTTCTTCTTTTTTGGTTTAGAAAACAGGCTGGTCTCGGCCAGGCGCAGTGGCTCAAACTTGTAATCCCAGTACTTTGGGAGATTGAAGTGGGTGGATCACCTGAGGTAGGCAGTTAGAGACCAGCCTGGCAAACATGGTGAAACCCCTATCTCTACTAAAAATACAAAAAATTAACTGGGAGTGGTGGCAGGCACTTAAAATTCTAGCTACCGAGGAGGCTGTGGCAGGAGAATCGCTTGAGACTGGAAGGCAGAGGTTGCAGTGTGCTGAGATTGTGCCACTGCACTCCAGCCTGGGCAACAAGGGTGAAACTCTGTCTCTCTCTCTCTCTCTTCCTTTTTTTTTTTTTCTTTTTTTTTAAGAGATGGAGTCTCGCTCTGTCTGAGCTCACTGCTACCTCCACCTACTGGGTTCAAGTGATTCTTTTGCCTCAGCCTCCCCAATAGCTGGGACTACAGGCGTGTGCCACTGTGCCCAGATAATTTTTGTACTTTTGTAGAGATGGGGTTTCACCACGTTGGCCAGACTTGTCTGGATCTCCTGACCTTGTGATCTGCCCACCTCAGCCTCCCAAAGTGCTGAGATTATAGGCGTGAGCCACTGCACTGGTCAAAATTCTGTCTCAAGAAAAAAAAAAAAAAACAACAAAAAAAAAACCAGAAAAAAGAAAAGAAAAGAGCCTGGTCTCAAGCTCCTCAGCTCAAGGGATCCAAGCAGCTGGGATCCTAGACATGTGCCACTGTGTCCGGCATAGTTTGAGTTATATATATATATATATATATATATATATATATATATTTTTTTTTTTTTTTTTTAGACGAGGTTTCACCATGTTGGTCAGGCTGGTCTTGATTTCCCAACCTCAGGTGATCCACCTGCCTTGGCCTCCAAAGTGCTTGGATTACAGGCATGAGCCACCACACCTGGCCTGGTTTGATTTTGAAATGAACCCAGATGTACTCTGGATCAATCATATTTCCCCAAATCTAAGCCTGATATAAACAGATTATTCTATATAATCGGCTAATAGTGTAGCCTTCAGTGTCGTAAAGAGATTCTTAAAATGGGAGAATTTCACATGCAATGAATGCTCTCCTATAGTAACATGAGCCTGCTTCTGCCACAACACTGTGCTGATATTACCTGGTTAATTGTCTATCTTCCCCTTAGATTCTAGGCTCCTTGGAAGGTCCAGGATAGAGATGATTCATTTTGTATGCTCAGTGCCTATCATAGTGTCTGATTCACAGAGTGTGTTCAATATACGTTGGCTGAGGGGAACCGAATGATCAGTGGGAGAGAAAGTTTCATATTGTCTCCACAGAACTTGGGTAGGACTAGAGGGAAGGTCAAAGTCCTGTGGGGTCAGAAAATCTTCCTGGAGCAGATGAAATGTGTCCACAGGAATGGAATTTTCTAGAAGGAGTGCTGGATGCTTAGCTAACATGATAGGCAGCGTTTTTGATTGGACAGGGCTCAGCTGAGGGCTGCAGTGAAGCTTTATAACAGATGGTTGAGCATAGGCACTGGAACTGGGCTGCCTGACCAAATCTTGCTTCTGCAATTTACCAACTGTGTGACATTTGGGAAGTTACTTAGCCTCTCAATGCCTTAGTTTTCTCATCTGTAAAATGGAGTAATTCTATTTATTTGTGAATTAAATAAATGCATGTATATACAATTTAGAACAAAGCCAGCCACAGAATACGTACTCAGTAATGTTGGCAACTGTGATTATTTTTTATCTCTTTCCATTCCTTTGTTCTGCCTTGACCTTTCTTGTCACCTGCTATCATCCCCTGCAACCTGCGATGCTCCCTACATGCCCCAGGCAAAAATGAATGACATGCATGTGGATAGGCAGGAGATACATGAATGACTGTATAGAATGGAATGGTTTCTACACGGCTGCAGGTGTGGGGGGCAGCCTGTGTGCTGACTGTATAGAATGAGCTGGTTTCTACCTGGCTCCAGGTGTGGGGGGCAGCCTGTGTGCTGACTGTATAGAATGAGGTGGTTTCTACCTGGCTCCAGGTGTGGAGGACAGCCTGTGTGCTCTTCTCTGTTTGAACTCACCATCTTTTTCTGTACTACCCTGAGACTGTGTCTTACTGTAAGGCAATCCCTAAGAACCTGGGAGCTACCACATCTGTAAGGAGGTCTATCTAGGGAGAGCTGTGAACACTGAACATTTCCAGGAAAAGCCTTGGTCTTTTGGGCAAATACTGGCCTGGAAGTCAGAAAGTGTACTGAGCATGTACTTTGTGAGTCCTTTGGAAGCAGGCTGAGTTGCCATTTCTGTGAGTCTTGAGGGAGGTGGACAGGAAAGTGCGCCTCAGGGATGACAACTCTTTTCCTCCTATAATACTGTGCCAACATTACTGGACGAAATAAGTGTAACATGAAAGCATTGCGGATACTAAATATACAAGCAATTATTGTAAAATTCCCTACTTTGAATTCAGCAGTTCTTAGATGGTCCATATTTTCTTATCTCATTTCCTCAGCAGCTATCACCTTTGAACATGCTACGCACTCTGCTTGCTTATTACGTCTGTTTTCTGTTCTCTCTACTATCCTGGAGCAGGGCAGGGATCTTGATCTGTTTTGTTCATTGATGTATCCCAAATGCCCCAAAACTGCCAAACACATAGTAGATAGCAGGTGCTCAAATATCGGTTAAATGAATGGTAACTGTGATATTTCCTCCCAGAAAGTACAATTCATAATTCTTTCAGTCCCAAGAAAATAACTAAACTGTGGCTAAGAACAAAAGGGTTAGTTTCACTAATGTAAGTTATGGAGCATGGCAATCTTTTCTGAATACTTGTAGAAAACATCTTTTCTTTTGCGGTCCAGAATCATTCTCCTTTCCTGTAGTTTTTTTTTTTTTTCCCTATGGAGATGGGGTCTCATATGCTGCCCAGGCTGGAGTGCAGTGGCTATTGCAGGTGTAATCATAGCACACTACAACCTTGAACTCCCAGACTCAAGTGATCCTCCCACCTCAATCTCCTGAGTAGCTGAAATTCCTTTTTATAGTTTTCAGTACTCCATTTTCCTCCTCAGACATGCTTTCTCTTCCCATTCTCAGTCCCTGTGGCTCCAGGGTGGGCCAGTGGCTTTCATTTGGGTATACATAAGTGACCCGTGTTGGTTTACGTTCAGTTCCGGAATGATCTGGGAAACAGAAGATGGTGGCCAGCTTGCCACCCCTGGGGAAGAGCCTATCTAAGAGGAAGCCCTGAAAAGCAGAGCCCATTCATGGACAGAGACAGATTTTGGGCAAATGCACAAGTCTTAATCAAAGCCCCACCTTGTAGAACTGGGATTGGGGCAGCCCAGAGAATTAGGAGGGTGACCCTCATGACCTCCAAAGGTGCTGCCCGGCTATGGCACCAGATAGAGCCATCATCATGCACTAGGCAAGTATTTGGTTTCTTCTGCCCTGTTTCTGTCTTTCTCAGTCGTTCTTATCACGGGCCTGGAATATTTCCTCCAGGGTACTATGAAGGATCTGAGATCCTTCCATGCCAGGCCTGGCTCTGTTCCTGGTCAGTTTCTTTGACTCCATGGCTATTTATTTCCAGTTCAGTAAGCTCTGAGGAGGGCAAAGAATGGGTAGGAAAGGGGCCCTAAACCAGAGGGTGTGGGATGAAAAGGATGGGTCAATTCATGGAGCATTTAATGAGCACCTGCCACGCGACGGGCGCTGTGTTCGACGCTGGGGCGGGAGGGAGTATGGCAAAGATGGACAAATGCCATCCTCACTACAGAAACCCTCAGTACCATTAACTCGAAATGAAGCTGAGCTTGAGAGATCAATGAACTCTTAGAGAACAGAAAGCAAGGCCAGATATCCAGAAAGGAATTTGCAGTTGACTTCTAAATAGTTAGCTCAAGAATCAGTCTTCTCTACAGTAGTAACATCAACTCTACCAAGTGATAGTGGTAAGACAGTAACAATTATTTTAGTTACTGTCAAGATGAAATGAGTTGTATTTGCTTGTTTTATAAGGTGGTTTAAAGTTACTCTTTCTCCTCTCTGTTCCCTGTCCCCCACCACCCAAACCAGACACCCGACTGATTTGTCCCCGATGGCTGGCTGTGATTACTGTCCTAATTTGTTCTTTCCTCATCTGCTACAAACTGCCTATTTTCTGTCCTTCTGATAATGCAGGAGCTCTGAGGGACTTCTGAAGCTGTTTTTGTACCATGCAGAAGTGTATTAACGGGAATTCCTATGTTTGTGTCTATAAAACCCCTCGTCTTCTCAGTGTGAGATCACCTTCAGGAACGGCGTCATGTCGATGTGCAGCTTGCGCGTGTAAAATTCTTTTCTGTTTGAACATATCAGCCCTTTATTTATACAACTTTGAGGCTCTCCTGTCTTCTGAGCTGCTGCCTCCAAGGACTGCTGGGCTCCCTGTGAAGAGAAGCAGAAAGCCCAAACTTTCATATGAATGATGTGTGGTGCAACAAGAGCTAGTCCAAATCCCCAAATATTTATAGAAAGCAATTTTTAAAATCACTGACACAGTAACAGGCAACACCTATTTTTACTGTTGAAGACACAGAGGACCCTATAGAGAGAAAATAGCCCAAGACTGTTTATTAATTAATATACGGAAATGGAAAAAGGGAGCTTCCTAGGTCCCAGGTTTTTCTTTTTTCTTTTTTCTTTTTTTTTTTTTTGAGATGGAGTTTTGCTCTTGTTGCCCAGGCTAGAGTGCAATGGCGTGATCTCGGCGCACCACAACATCTGCCTCCTGGGTTCAAGCAATTCTCCTGTTTTAGCCTCCCAAGTAGCTGGGATTACAGGCATGTGCCACCGTGCCTGGCTACTTTTTTTTTTTTTTATTTTTAGTAGAGACGGGGTTTCACCATGTTGGTCAGGCTGGTATTGAACTCCTGACCTCATGATCCACCTGCCTCGGCCTCCCAAGTTGCATGGGATTATAGGCGTGAACCACTGCACCGGGCCAGTCCCAGGGTTTTAATTATTTCCTTTAACCCTCACAACAACCCTGTAAGACAGGTACTGTTACTCCCATTATACAGATGAGGAAACCAGGAGGCTCTGGGAGGTTAAGCAACTTGCCCAAGGCCATTAGCTGATATATGCAGAGCTAAAATCACCATCTGCTGAAGACTCCTTTTTAATGAGATCTTTTTGATACTTCTATAGCTTCCATGAATGGTTATCAAATCTGCTTTGCAGCAAATATGGTTATAGCAAGATTCCAGTCTATTTCCAAGATGACAAAATTGAATTTGATGTGTTAGGAAGACTGATTGGAACAAATGTAGCAGAGAGAGAAGGAAGAATGGGCTAACAGAGGAGTTTGGGAGGCCCCGGGTGCTCTCTGAGCTTCTGGGCCATGCAAAGGGTGTCGCGTTTCAGGACACCACAGGGTTGGATCTGAAGCTGCCCTCCAACCCATGCTCCACACTGCAACCTGGGTGCTCCTTCCAAGATACACACTGGACCATATCACTTCTCTGCTTGAAACCTTCAAAAGCCAATGTCCTCAGGATGAAGGCCAGTCAGCTTACAAGGTTTATAAGCCCTTTCTGCCTGGCCCTGGATGATCTCTCCTGCTTCACTCAGTCATTCAACAAATATTTATTGGGTGCCTTTTCTATGCCAGAGCAGATAGGGCAGTGCCCAAAGGGACAAAAGTCTCCACCCTCATGAAGAGTACACGTCCATTCCACTGAAAGGGAAGACAGAATCAGCAAGGAACTGGAACATCAGTATCTGTGAAGATGGTTTGTTTTAGGGAGAAAAAGAAAACACAAAGTGGGCTAAGGGAATAGCTGGGGATGGAAGTGGAGGCTGCAATTTTAAGCAGGGAGTCAAGGAAGGTCTTATGAAAAAGCAATGACTGAGCAAAGCTCTGAAGATGGTGAGGGAGGGTTCTAGGTCCTATCTGCATGAAGTGTTTACTTCATGATGGGAATAGCAGTGCAGAGGGCCACATGGACACCAGCTCTTGAGCTCCTGGAGCAAGGCCTTTGCACATATCCTTCTCTCTCTCCCTTTTGACTCTCCTTCATCCTTCAGGTCTGGCTTCTCTGTGTCCGTGACCTCCCAGAGCATGAGCACCTTCCACCATTGCCCACAATAATTGTTCAGGCTTGTGCGGCCATCTCTCCTCCCCCTCTAGACTGGAAGCCCCCTGAAGGCAGGAACCATGGCTGTTCCATTCCCATTGTCCCAGCAGTTTCTGACTCAGGGTCTGGAAATGAACACACACTTGATACACATTTGCTGAACAAAAGAGTAAGTAATAGGTTATGGCCCACTTCAGTGCAAAGTCACGTGCTTGGGTGGTTTTTCATTTATCCATTAAACTGATATTTATCAAGTGCCTACTATATGTCAGCACACATAAGAAAGATGATGCTTTTAGGTAGTGACTAGTCTGTGAAGACAATGCAATGGTGCTAGGAGGGAGGGCAATAAGAATGGGGTGGCCACTTGCTTTGGGTGATCAGGGGAGGCCTCTCTGAGGAGGTGACATTTGAGCAGAGCCCTGGATGACAAGCTGGAGCCAGCCCTGGATGGATCTATCTTTAGCAATCAGGGTAGCTGATATCTCTGTGGTCTGATTATTTAATTATTATTCTTATTTTTTTGAGACAGATTCTTGCCTTGTCGCCAAGGCTGGAGTGCAGTGGTGGGATCTTGGCTCACTGTAACTTCTGCCTCCTGGGTTCAAGTGATTCTCCTGCCTCAGTCTCCTGAGTACCTTGGGATTATAGGTGTGTGCCACCATGCCCGGCTAATTTTTGTATTTTTAGTAGAGATGGAGTTTTGCCATGTTGGCCAGGGTGGTCTTGAACTCCTGACATCAGGTGATCCCCCGGCCTTGGCCTCTCAAAGTGCTGGGATTTATAGGCATGAGCCACTGTGTCTGGCCTGTGGTCTGATTACTTAGAGGTAAGCAGGGGATCTTTGAAAAGGAAAGTGGAATTCCTGATTGGCCTGTCTGTCCTAGCCTTCTGGGCTCCATCCCTGGCCCTGTGAGGCACCCCTCTGTTTTCTGAGAGGTAGAGCAATCACAACTGATACGTGCAGCTCTTGGGTATGCTGAGAGCAAAAGAATAAACAGTGATCAGGAGTCAAGGTCTCTAAAGGTATAGGAGGAAGAAGAAAACACAAGGTTAAATGGAAGGGAAGGAAAGCGGGAGAACTGAAGAAAGCAGAGATGTCTGAAGGTTTTTTGTTTCCTTTCTGTGAACACTTTGGTGGAGATGATTAAAAAACTAATGGAATGGCCAGATGTGGTGGCTTATGCCTGTAATCCCAGCACTCTGGGAGGCGGAGGTGGGTGGATCGCTTGAGGCCAGCAGTTTAAGACCAGCCTGGTCAACACAGCAAAACCCATTTCTACTAAAAATAGAAAATTTAGCCAGGCATGGTGGTGCACACCTGTGGTCACAGCTACTTGGGAGTATGAGGCATGAGAATTGCTTGAACCTGGGAGGTGGAGGTTGCAGTGAGCTGAGATCACGTCACTGTACTCCAGGCTGGGCACAGAGCGACGCTGTCTTAAAACAAAACAAAACAAAACAAAACAAAAAAACCCCAGACAAACAAACCAAAAAACAAAACAAAACAAACAAACAAACAAAACCTGATGGAATGGTGAAATGTTTAGCAGAAAAACAGAACCCATCCCTTCACCTATATTGTACTGTAAATATTTTAATATTTTTATGTTCTGCTAAAAACACCTGGAAGCTTTTCTCTTCAGTAAATGAAGCAATAAAGATTACTGAGTTAATTTGGTAAAGTTGATTTGAATTGCACAGAAGGCATTGCATAAGTACTTGGCATTTAAAAAGTTATCTGACATTTAAAAGGAGATGACTGTTAATGAATTCAAGAGCTAATCTTATACTCTGACAGAGTGAGCCATGGAAAATCCAGGATTATTATCTTGCTGTAAACACAATGTGATTCAGTTGAGCTATCAAAAAAAAAAAAAAAAAAAAAAAAAAAAAAAAAAAAAAAAGCTATTGGTTGCGTACAAATATCTAGACTCATACACATATAAAATATAGCAAAACTTAAAGAGAATATCGATGAAAATTACAGACACGTCTTACTATTACTATTTCCTTCCTTACTCTTGGATTATAATGTCTGCGCCGCAGATCCGAGGAGAAACCCTTCTTCCCAGTGATTTTCCCTCCTCCTTTCACCTGGTGTATTTTAAAGGGTCACTACCCTTTAAGATGGGTTGGCTCTCCGAATAGACCTTGGAACATCTAACATTAAAGAAGGAGACAAAATTCTAAACCCAAGTGGCTGCATCTCCAGCCCTGGGTCCCACAGAGCCACCAGAGATAAGGATCTGTCCTGTGGGTGTCCCTCAGGCCCTTCTCATTACCTCTCCCACTTCTTTCTAATTGGGGTTCCCCATCTTTGTAGCTGCGGCTTAATGGCTCCAAGAAGAGTGATTGTCCCTCATTAAGGAGGCTGCAACACTCTCGCTGTCTAACTGCCTCCCACGCAGCTCACAACTTCATTCTGGCGGAGAGCAAGCTGCCAAGAGGCTCCGGGAACCTGTGGGCAAGCTGAGCTGGAGGAAGAAACAGAAGGGAGGAGGGCCTTTGTAACCGAGATCTGAAATGTGCTGGGGAACACACCCTGCCATTATCTTCATGCTTGAAGAGCGGGTGGGGGGACTGAAACCCTTAGGTGGTCTCTCAAGTGGCCACATCAAACCTCTGTGCACACAGGGCCTTTGTCCCCTCCTGTGAGTAAACACAAAAAATAGTCAGTCCCTCCTCTGACCCCTGGGCTCCCCTTGTTGGCTAATAGTCTGACTCCTCTTGGTGGCTCTGAGTCCTGGGGGCACAGAGAGAGCTGAGAGATTTAGTTCCTGGGGGTAGGGGAGAAGGAGGCTGGGACCCTGAGCTTCCCTGTCCTCTCTCCCCCAGCTAGGGTAGGGGAACCAAATCCTGGAAGGGGCCCTTCTGCAGGATCGAGGGAGCTGGCAACTTTCCTCGTGTTTGGCCTTCTGGCCCTGTTGTTCCTTGTCTATGGCAGCCTACGGACCTAAAAGCGGGCAGCGGGGATGGGGCCATTGGTGGGGCTGAGTGTGCCTGGGACTCCCTGGGCTCCCTGAGATGGGGCTGCCTAGAGAGATCCCAGTGGGCCGGGCATTGTACACACTGTTAATCCCAGGCTGACCTGGAGGGCACCCTCCGTGTGGCAAGGCTAACCTCCTCAGCTACCCCCAGGGTCCTCACTCTGGGGTTGTGTCTCTGTCTAGGTTTCCCCGGCTGGAAGGCAGGAGGCCTCCAGTGTGCAGGGGGTCAGACGGATGCCCAGGATCTTAGCTCAGCAACCCTGCCTGCCCACAGAGCCTCTTTCTGAGGAGCAGCAGAACCCCCAGCCACAGAGGGCTT